AATTTTTAATTTTTTTAGTCGCGCTGTGATGACGTCACATGCGTGCTTTCGTCGAGCGCGATTTTGTCCTCCGTGCTTTTGACGGGTCACGGATTATTCACATTGGTTCATAGATATGGGGGAGCCAGCTCTAGATTTTATATAGAAGTAACGACTTTCTTTCTATTTCCAGGTGTTTGGAGTTCATTTGAACAAGTGGAAGTTAGATAAGAAACTGGGGTGTGTGTGCCTTTCCCTCTATGGAATCTTCTTGTGTTTCTCCATCATGACAGAATTTAATGTCTTCACTTTTGTAAATTTGCCTATGTGCAGAGATCATTGATCCTACGGACAGTCTGTTGAGATGCAACTTCCTTCTCTACCAGTGCAATATGAAAATGGTTGGCATTTCCAAGCAGTATGAGGTCCCCTATGAAGGCTGGGAAGCTCAGTGGGGGCCTCTTCTTATCTTGGCTTAGTCTCTTTCTAAGCCATATTTTCACACATACAAACGCTCACTTGGAAACCACCTATATTGATGCGAAGATTTACAAATTCAGAGAGTCTGACGGGCTAACTAACTTTTACCTGGCTCTGAGCCAGAGAAACTGAACTATTACAGTTTTTTTTTTAAGTTATTTGATGGAAGACTAAGTTATGAATTGAGAACTATAGCTAAGATACAAAGAAGAGTATGCATTGCATTGACTGCTTTTGGAGAAAAAAACGAAAGGAATTTATTTTATTCTTCTTTCCTAAGAAAGTTTCCTTGCAGCTTATCTACTTTGCAGAATATTGCATCTCATTGGATGATTCTGATGTTATAAACAGCGCTGTGAGAGCTAAATTCCAGGTACTTATTAACAAGAATGGACTTGTACTTTTCAGAAGTAGTACACAATGACTTCCTTATGGAAAGTAATGTATCCCAGACAGAGATTTGGGAGGAATCTTAACTGAATTCAGACTGTAGAGATGAACCTTGCTGCCATTTTATTCTTAACAGCAGAATGTGATCACTAGGTTGTTTAGAATATTTCCAAGCAATAGTTTTAGGCCAATAGGCCCCGGCAGACTCATGAGATGAAGTCCTGGTTTTTAACTTGATTATTGCCAAGAAAACTACATGGATATATCCATGAAGTCACCAGGAGCCAAATGTGACTCAAAGGAGATTTAACACTCCCCACCCCCTTTTAATTTAAAATACAATGCCTGGACTAATCTGTTATGGGTTCTCAATGTTTATTGAGACTATTTCTTTAGCACTTTTAGATTGAAAAGTACTTTATGACACCCCCTCCCTTTCCTCTTTATCCTGGCAAAAGTTTGTTAAGGTAAGCACTAATAATATTCCTGTGTCTTAAAAAATAGTGCAGTTGAAAAAGTCTGTATCCCCGCACATATCAACTTCAGGACTATGTTAAGATTTGAACCAAAATTGTTTTGATACAAAACAAAATTCAGATATTTGGATCATCGGACCATCTATTAACATATGGAGACTGGAGAAGAGGAAATGGATGTAAAGGGACATTATTAGTTGAGAAGGCAATATAAGTACATGGCACATGTTTTAAAATAATTAGTTGAAGACACTGGTTTGTAAAAAGCATATATTTGCACATATGTTATTGCTGATGTTATCATTTGCCATTCTGCAAAGGATACACTGGACCTGGTGGGCATATTATTGTTTTCCTTTTGTATCCCACTGGGTGGTTTGCTTATGCAAATCCTATTTTAGGAATCTTTGTTGGTGGATTCTTCCTGCTATTTACCACAAAATTGCATAGCACTTATTTTTAATTTTCTTGAACCTTGGACAGAGAGGATTGGATTTTGACAAACTGAGAAAGCTATGATAAAGTCCCCATTCAGTGTTCCATTGAGTCTGCTGTCTTTAATGTGATTTGCTCTATTTACTCTGGAAATCCTGAAGACACCTCAGCTTCCATGTAGATCTCATCCATCCCCATTACATTTTCAGTAATAAGAACAGCGTTCCTGACTGTCCCAGTGACATTTAGCCTGGACTGTCCTGTTTTGTTTTATTTGGTATGTATGCTTCATTTTACTCTGGTTTTATAAGAAGGGATCTTTAGCTAGGCAAGTGTGCAAAGATTTTATCTACATAACCCACAAAGGTCATTCTTAACAGAAAAACATCAAGCTGATGCGTGGGTGTAAACACGCCTTTCAATCTACCCAACAAGTTATACTTTAGTGTTTCCTTATTTCAAATGAGTTTCTTTTTGGGATCAATAGTATGAAATGAAATGTCATGATCTGCAGTCTCCCTTCATCATAGCACCTTGCTTTTTCTTATGACTTCCATAGTTGAATTTCTCCTCGATCTAGTTAGTGTCATCCACATACGTGGCTAATTTGTGGCCAGCCAGATAGAATAAATGTATTAATACAACTTAGTTTAACCAATAAAAAGTTTGCTCTTTCTGCACCTCTCCCTCACACATACACATGAACATAATTTGGCAATTGCTCCCTTGTGCTCATTTTTAATGTTTTCAGTTCTATGTCAGACAAATGCAATAAAATTGTCCGAACTTATGTTCTTACACTAATTTAATGTTCCAATGTATTCTGAAGTACTATAGCAGCATTCCAGATTTTCTATCTCTTTGTTAATTAACTAGTAAGCATCTAGCATGGCAAGAGCTATTTTGATGTATTGTTGAATGCATAGGACTAGAAGTCAATGGGTGAGTGATGGGTTCTGGTCATTTAGGCACAAAAGCCAGCCACTGACCCACGGCCATTCATTCTCTCTCAGCCCTAGGAAGAGGGTAATGAGAAACCACTTTAAAAATGTCAGCCGGAAAAACTTCAGAAAAGTGTTTTTATACATTGTAGACAAATTATGACTTTTAATCTAGGGAAATCAATCATTTCACATAGGGATATAACAGGATTTTAAGCTTTAAATTCAAAATAAACTCTTACAAAGGAATGAAATGCAGAAATAAATAAACAGTGTCAATGACTGTCTTTTCAGAGATGTTTGTCCACTGTTACAGATTTTTTTCATTAAAGATTGCTAAATATGCTCTTATGAAAACTTAGGATTCTTATAATACTTTTACCATCCACCATGCCTTCTTCATTCTGTTTTTAATTAAATAATTATGGTTGCTCAGTATATTTCCTTCGATCAAACCACTTTAGCATCCAGAAACTTTAACGTTCATTATCATCACTTCCTTTTGGTTGTGTAATAGATTGTATGTAGAAATCCATTTCACATCATCCATATGATTAGGATGGGTTGTTCCCATTGTCAACACAACACAATTTATTGGTGAGACTTATATGGCTTCGGTCTTGACCAGCTCTAAATGATCCCCCTTGGAATTTTTATAGCTCCCCACTCCCTCAAAACATAGAAAAACTGTTTTCAAAACAAAATGGAACAGAATAAATGAAGAGCCTGGAATCTCACCTACATAATACTTTGGAAGTAAAAATAGTTTGTGGTCTTGCGCAGTATGGCTACTAAAAATCTGAGCAGTGCACAGTGACATGTTGCTGACATACAATTCTTCATTTTGCATCACTGTCTTTATGGAATTGAATAATCCCAGTCTAAATTTCTATCTTTGTATAAATGGAACACTCTGCAACTATCCCTTCAACTCAATAACAATAACAGACTACTTGGAGAACAGGATAATATTTAAAGACAAATGTTAATTTGAGATTTTACCCTAATGCTAACAATAGGTAAAAAGACTAGTTGGTATTACCTATTCTCCTGTTCCCAGGTCCTAACACTACATATGGCCCCTGGCTGCCACCCTGATCTTTTCAGCATTTTCCCTTCGCTCTCAGCCACATAGCATATCCCAACTCCTTTATTTTAAAGTTAAACAATGAAATAATCTTCCCACCTAAGCTGAGAACAGTTTTATTTCATTTACCAATTCAGTTTTTGATTTAATACCAACTTCCCTAGGGAAAAAAAAGATTGTGTTAGTTTCCCTTTAAACCTTTCACCTAAAAAAAATAAAAACAGCTGTTTTTTTCTCTATGTAAATTTGTTAGCAACCTATAATGAAAACATATTAGCCACTAGTACTTCTTTCTTTGCCTTCATTGTTGATAATAAGGAATAAAAATATTAAGGCATTTTTGAGGGTCATGTTGGAGAAGATATCAATTTATGTGACAATGTAATATTTAAAAAATATAAAGCAATAAAAGATGGGACTAGAAGATACAGTTTAAAATATAGTTTTAATTAATTCAGGCTTTTTCATCATAAAAGTGAAAATGTCACAGTTTTGCAAATAGCAACTCTGCTCCAAGTTAAGTGACATGTTTATTTTATTTTTTTATACATAAAACAAGTAGAATCATAACATTTTCATTTTAAAATGTGTTTCTTTTTGCTGTAGGTTTAAAGCATATGTTGTACGTAGCAAATTGATCATATCTTATTTTAGGCATTGATGTTTTGCAAGAATAGTGTAAACTGTTTTGTTTTGTATAAACATGATAACATAATTTTTCCAGAGCACACTGGATTCAATAAAATCTGCCTCTTGGCATCTAAGATGCTATCCCCCTTGATCTATTTTCCAGTACCTGCCCTCTTCTTCCTTTTGTTCGAGGATGTGATAGTTGATGGTATCAAAGGCTGCTGAGCTGTGCAAGAAAAATTCTAGGACCACATGTCCTGTGGGCATCCCAATATAGATCTTGCACCAAAATAATTGATCTCTATCCCATTTCCCAGCCACATTGCAATAGGTCCAGATTAACTGAATACTGGAGTTAATGATAAACTGAGTAAGTGTTCTCTAAGTAAATTAAAATTAAATTTAGTGCTTTTATGCCAGTAAGAATTTAGGAGTGGGAAAGAAATCAAGAATGTTAATGAGGTCTAAAGCAATTGGCCCACAATTCATTTACTCCTATATGTAGCCATAGCAGCAGTCCAGAAGTGTCACATCCTGAAGCCAGAGCCAAAGACAATCTTTGTCCTAAACCCAGGGTCCTTGATAACAAGCAGTTTCAAGTGGTTTCCCCCCCCCCCTTGAATCATAATTATATATAAGACCATGCAGTAATGGTTATGACAACTCATATGATGTTTCATATTAATTGATGGATAAAAAGAAATCCTGTGGCCCCCACCCCCCAATGTTAAGTAATGAGAAGGAAAAGATGTAAAGTCTCCCTGCTTGCATTTATATCATTTGTTTCAGTGATCTGGTTGCCCTTAAATGAATGAGGAATAAACATTTGGAATGTCAGATTGAGATTACACATTGTAGTCTCATCTCTACAAAATGAGAATTCATTACATCCATCGTACAGGAAAGATGGTCTGGAAAGGGATTTAGAATAGGAATAGGAAAAGAATAGAATGGAATAAAATAGAATAGAATAGAATAGAATAGAATAGAATTCTGGCTAGGGAAGAAGGTTGAATTATTGAATTATTTTTAAAATAATTTAATTGATTCTTTAAAAAATAGAGAAAAACCAAAGGGGGAAAAGAGACAATCCCATAATATTATTGGATTTTCCTCCTTGATGTCTAGATTTAAAATAGTTAATCCAAAGAACAAAAATCTAACAGTTCTGAATGATAGTATTTGTTAGAAAGGTTAATGTTACAATATAAGTATCCCAGGCAGGTGGAATATGTAAGAACTGTAGGGCAACAAAAGTATTGTTGGTTTCCTGCTATCTTTCTGTTTAAAACAGGGATGTGAAACTCAAGGCCCAGGGGCTGGATCTGGCCCGCGGGGTGCTTAGATATAGCCTGCGGCGCTGCCCTGGAAACAGTGAAGGATTGGTCCACAGTTCCTCTGCCAGCAAAAATGGAGCTCAGAGGGCCCACATGCGGCGCTCCTGAACTCTGTTTTTGCTGGCAGAGGGTTGCAGGAAGCCACCACATCTGGAAATGGAGCTTGGGAGCCTGTTTTCGCTGGCAGAGCACTTGGGCCACCACAGGCACCTCCAACATGAGTGACGTCGAGTTGGCCATGCCTTCTGGCCACACCCACTCTCTCCCCCCCAAGATCAAACACAACCCTAATGCGGCCCTCAATGAAATCAAGTTTGACACCCTTGGTTTAAAAGGATAGAATCTTGACCATAGGTAGCACCTCTGTTTTGATTGCTGTCATTCCTATCAGTATGAGTGACACCTGGTAAACATCTGCTCAATTCATTCATATAGATACACCATATATCTTCCCCGCCCCCCAGCCTATTATCAGAAGATGACAGAGATATTATATTAGAGGAAAGCTAGGTATGAATCATTCTTCTCTCTAAATGCCTCTTATTCTGATTATATTTTAACGAGATAACTAGACAAGCAATAAATATGCTGACCTATCATTCTAGTTTGGTCTTAAGTAGGAAACTTGAACTAGCCTAGAACTTGGGTATAGAAATGCTCTTCTAGGAACAGGTCACAAAACCTGTAGGTCTGCCTGTGGAATTCTGGGAGTTGCAGTCCATGTATTTTAAGGTTGTTGAGGTTGGCAAAATACTGATCTAAGTCATATATCTTTATTATTTTGTCAGGCATAATCTCTGATAAAAGCTGGAATGAGCAAGCAGGTAATATTTTTCAAGTTTGAGAAAGGGAGAAGCAGTAGGGATTCACAACTGGGTAAGTGTGAGAAGGAAAAAAGAAACTGAAGATAAAAATAGCAGTCTTCCACACATTTCTATGATATAATAACACAAGAAAGAGTCATATATTTTTCATATAAAAGCAATCACTAAAGGTGTACATATAAACAGTCTCAGGAATTAGAGCAGAATTAGAGACAATTCCCCAATGAATTCTTTTTTTTTTCAGTTCACCCTTAACAAATACTAAAAGGAAAGATGAACTAAAATACTTTAATATAGTCATATGCTTCCATTTCAAGAAATTCTGTTGGAATTAAAGCCCTACAATCACAGATTAAAATAATTAAAACTACTTTCCTTTGTCTGGAACACTGTGGGTCTTACCAAATACTTATTTATCAAATAACAGTGTGCTATTAAGCAATAATTGTATCTTGTACTTGGCCAAACTTCCTATCAAAATTACACAGTTCTAATATACATACATGCATGCATGCATACATACATACATTGTGCGTGCATGTGTGTGTGTGTTTATATATTTGTACACACAGACACACACACACACATTACAGAAGTGTCACATTTGTATAATAGCTTTGGACTGAATATTAAACAAAAAACCAAACGGATTATTTCACAGGAGTGTAGTTAAGGGGGGGGAACTATTTTTGAAGCATAATACATGAAGCAGAAAAAGAAAATCAAATCTTGAGGTGGTGCAAAGTTGAAACCATTTAAGACTGAAGGTATGAGGTACAATTGTTGAATGTCTTTCAAATTCCAAATTCTCTCAGAGGAGGGAGAAAAGCCCTATTTCTTCTATAACATTATATTCCTGTCTGTTCTTTTTTGTGATCCTTTTCTTCCTTTCTTCCCTGGAGAATTGGCCCATTTTATCCCTTCATTCTTATTTCATGTCATAGTCTTTTTAGATAAGACCTATGCCTAACAGACTTAGATTTCCCTAATTTGCTTTCTAATATAGATTAATGCAGTCAATAGCATACTGCCATCATTTACTAGAACTGTACAGCACTTCAGAGTTCATTCTAAAGATATTCTTCCAAGCATATGAACACAGCACATAGCTGCAACTCTTTAAAACAATTATATTTTCCGCAAGATTATGTAGCTGCCAGAAAAATGTAACTGCTTTAAAGCGTATAAGCAGATATTGTGTTCATGTCCTCATATTCCCATAGCATATCATAGTCCTATTATTTATCCACTGGGTGGTGGGGGGACAGTTAGAAAACCATCAAGGAAGAGCTAGAGAAAATCTGGCTGTGATTTATTCCATAGAAAAATAGAGGTATAAGGCATTCCAGTGAGTATAAGGTGATGCCTCTTTCTTTCTTTCCTCTCCTCTGTTCCTAAATATTGTACTCCCTTATTTGTACATATTAAAACTATAGTAACTATGGTGTCTTTCCACAGCTCTTAAAGTTTTGGTACTTTGCTTGCATCCTGTTTTCTTCTATTGACCTTCCTTTGTATCTTCAAATGTATTGACTCACACTGAAAGTGCATGTTTAGGGTGTAGCTTTAGATTGTATAAGTAGAGCAAATGGAATTAATCTATTTGTTTCTGTTATTCTACTAAGAGATCATAGGCTGAGTTGCTGGTAGAAAAGAATAATTCTGTTCTGTATTTTCATAACACTAAGTTTCCAAAGAAGAAAGTGGTATTTCCAAAGTGGAGTTTGCACTCAGTATATATAAATTGATCTTGTCTATATAATTTACATCCAATTTGCCATACAAAATGAGGTATGCTATCCCCACCTGCTGAAATAAATCATAGTACCCCGGCTACTGATAATCCATCTGGATGACTGCAGTTTTTATGAATAGTTTACGTTCTTGAAAACTGCAGATCCTGTACTGAACAATATTTAAAACAAACCAGTTGTGTGTACAAGTAGTTGGACACATTTTTGTCCTTATTTTTTTAAAATTGAGAAACATAGATTTATATTCAGGTTTGTACCTTGAACTTTGTATTCTCACCCCATGGTAGCTGGCTGCCATTTGAATTAAAAAAAAATAGTTTTGGCTGCTATTGAGCTAATAATTGCTGTCAGCAATTGAAAAGCCTAAAATGGCAATGGTGAGTTTATCATGTTTTTATCAGGCAGTAAACTGGTAATCTATCAGCCCATTGTGTGTATAATGTATCAGATCTAATTGGGTATAGCTTACCTTTGTAATTTTTATAGTATTTTCTCATTAGTAGAATTACTGAATCTAAACTCTTTCTTTGAATACAGTATAAGATTTAATTTTTTTGTGCTGGTGCTTATACAATTATCCTTATATTTATTGTATTTATTTTTCATTGAAAATACAAATTTTGTATCAGGGAAGCAATCTTTATTTCAGAAGGACACAGAAACTGAAACTGAAAATTTGACTATGTGTTTATTCTGTAAGAACACCACTCCAAATGAGCCATCTGCTTTTGTGCTTTTCTATAACAAAACTTCAATTGAATCAGTTTAAATAATGAGGGTTGTCATCTGCTGAGAGGTTCTCCTGCACAAACATTACTGATGTAAATGTGCAGTGTGCAAGAAATTAAAACAATGACTTTTAGGTGGTTATACCTATTATCATTTCTGAGCTGGTCTAAATCTATTAAATTGCCATATTTACTCTCATACTTTAAATAATGTATATATACATTTAGTCTCTAACTGGCACATGTCTCCTTGGTGCACACTGATTGTACTTCGGTTCTTTTTTTATAAGCAGCACAAGGTAATAAATGGCTCAGGTTTTGCTAGTACATTTGTGTGTGCATGCATATGTTTATACCAGGCACCAAATGGTCACCTGTCTTTAAACCTACAGCCTTTTCATGTGATCCTTGGTGTTTCAATAAAGATAGCAAAATACATTAAACTAACTCATGTTTTGGGCTAATTATTTTTCTTTGGGTTTTCAATTTATCATTAAAATAAGAAAAAACTCCTACAAACTGCTCTCAAGAATTGTATCTTAAACAATGGCAGAAATATTGGATGTGGAGGAAATGTGTTTTCTTTGGTACTGATGAATATCTTTTCCTTTTCTTTGTAGACACAAACTAATATATCATCACTCTCCAATTTACATTGCAGTTTCCAAAGTAGAAATAGAAACAAGCTCTGGGCCTAGGGAAACTCCACATTCTCCAAACTTAACACTGAAATCAGGCAATATTGGCAATTGGAGATTTTAGCTACTCTGACATCTAAGATTGCAGAGAGCCAGAAGGTCACAAATTCCTGTCCGCTCTTGCTGATAATTTTACTTCCCAGGCTGTAAAATACTTTTTGGATATCTCAGAAATATAAAGAAAGATAAAGTGATTGTGGAACTACTAACAAATATTTGTGAACTTTTGGAAAATTAACAAAGTCCCAGAACAGTAGGTGTGACACTCTGTCTCTGTCTCTCTCTTCCTCTCTCTCCCCCCCCCCTCTCTTTTTCTCTCTGTTTCTCTCCATCCCCTTCTGGTTCTTGCTCTTCTGGCAGCCTCAACCATTGTTAACTGATGTTGTTGTAGTGTCTCTCTCCAACTTCTTCTGGGTCTGCCTCATGTTCCTTGACCTTCTCCTCTTTTTGTATATGCCTTGTAATAGTATGGAATCCCACAACATCTTCTCCGGGTGAGCAAACCAGTTTGTACTTTAAGATTGGTTCTATGCCAATTCTTTCTCTTGTCTCACTTCTGATTTTTTTCTCTTCTGGTCACTCCAGCAACTTTCCTCAAACATCTCATTTCTTTGGTGACAAACTTTCATGTATGATTTATTGTAAGTGTCCATGTTTT